GTGAATTAACGCTGATTTTTGTTGTTTGACTTCTGAATCAGTATTTATTCGGCGTGTTTGTGTCTTAACAAATACATACCGTTGTCGTTGATTACTTCACAAGTGGCCTGAAGCTTATCCTATTCCTGATCAGGGCGGTCACAGAACTGAGGTAATGATAACACGGATTTCCAGTTCGCGTGCTTTCATTACATTCCGATAGGGAGGAATTTGCCTCGGCATATCAAAGAAAATATGCAACTACTCGGCATGACAAAACTCAAACGACGCCATGCATCCCCAGTCGACGCATGGTAGAGAGGTTCAATCGACCATCCTTAAACCTCTATAGTGGTTTCCAGAAACCACAGGATGGACAAGAAATTACACTTTTTTATGCTTACCCAGTGCTGTCCACGAGACTACGCTTTCTCCATCACGATGCTCTTCGGTCGTAACCTTCGTTGCCTGTGATCTATGTTGGCCGCCCTCCGGATCTCTTCATCGCTGAGGAATGTTAAAATATCCAGGCCCGGTTGAGGATCACAATTGCACCGAGCGAGTCAACTTGGCGAGGAGAAGATGAAGACCCCTACGACACAGAGCTACTGAAACATCAGTCACGAAGGAGACAAGGTAGGTTGTGGATCCGACTCGACGGAGGACTTTGTCCGAAATACAGTCACCTTGTGATGTACGTATACGTCCTAAAAAGGAGAATGACGTCGTGTTCGGATTCGTAAGTCTTCGAACTTAAACTAAAGTGTTCTTACGACAGGTTGCTCATTACTATGGCCTAGTACGTATGTAATAATGTAATAGTACAGACATGGTCCTTTTGTTATAAATGTGCATTGATTGATTTGATTTTTATTGAGTGCATTTCGTATTTGATTTGTATTCATATTGATTGCATTTAGTATTTGATTTGTTTTGTATTTAGTATTGATAGCATGATTGTTTAAGTAGTTATTGCATTTATTTTTATTTGTTTGATATTGTAATGTAATGTTAGCACAGTTGTAATTTAGCTTCCTGTCAGGGATTGTCTGCCCGGACGTGCGTCCTGGGAAGGGGCAGTGTTACGAATTTGGTATTTAAGCTATGTTGTCAATTATAATTAAATGTTTTATTTCTCGCGCAGGCAGGCGTGACAATATAAAAAAGCTAGCCGCAAAATAAAAATACAGCGCGTGCGTTAAATAATAAAGATCTCTTTGATTCGAGAAATGCTGGAAATTCTAGCGCGTGATTTTAAAATCTTATCAAGGAGGAACATCTCAGTTTGTGTTGTTGCTTATTTAATTAAAGGAGGAAACATCTCAGTTTGTAGTTGTGCTTAATTATTGTGTTTAGAAACTGCTCTTGTGATTGTAGCGAATCGGGATTGCGTTCTTAGCTGTTTGTAATTTACGTTCTAATGAATTGAATAGTTAAAAGATAAAACACTCGAATACTGTAATACTGCAGATATTTGAGAAAATTTAAGATTTTTGTTGTGATAAAATAATTTTGTTCATTTTCATCGGACTTGTGCTTCATTGTAGAATTCGTACGCACGCACAGTATTAATTTTTGTGGTGAAAAATTTACATAATCCAGTCATTTTAGGCATGAAGTTCTTAAAAGGCCGCGAAAGCCAAGCTCAATTTTCAGGATAACTCGGTCGTGCTGGAAATGGATTGGAGGGTGGTGGAGCCGGTGAAAGAACCTCAGGTGGACTTAAGCCAATTGAGTGTCCAGGAAAGCCAAGCCATCCAGCAAGTGGTGAGTACTTTTACAAACTTGTTTTCAGAACGGCCTGGTAACTGTCAAATTGTAACACACAGTACACAACTAACTGCCGATAAACCCTGTAGGGCTAAACCCTGCAGGTATGATCAACAGAAAGAACACATTATTGAGGAACACATTAAAGAAATGCTACAGAACCAGATAATAATGCGCATAAATAGTGAGTACGTGAGTCCAGTCGTACTATGTAGGAAAAAGAACGATTTCCTCATTCAGATAAAAGGACTTGGAGGTTTGTTATCGATTACAGAAAACTCAATAGTATTACTAAATTCTCGGTTTACTCTTTGCCGGTGATTGAGGAAATTATTAGAAAGATTAAGTCTACGATATATATGACTATGTTGGACTTAACATCTGGCTAATATCAAATAGCTATGAAACCAGAAGATATACATAAAACCGCGTTTATCACAAAATGTGGGGCCCCGTCAACATTTCAGAGAGCTATGGACTATAATCTAAAGCCTGTCCTAGGAAAATCGACTTTAATTTATCTAGGTGATATAATTATAACGAGTAGTACGTTGGAGCAACATATTAAAGATTTGGAAGAGGTTTTTAAATTATTAAAAGAGGTCGGTCTTACAATTAACGCATCGAAATGCAAGTTCGCGACAAAAGAACTTAAATATTTGGGATATAAAATTTCGCAAAAGGGTATAGAAACTCAGAATTCAAAAATAAAAGCCATCAAGAATTTCCCACCTCCCAGTACCGCCAAGAAACTTTTTTCTTTCCTTGGGTTATGTTATTATTATCGGTCGTTCATAAAAGATTTCACTAATATTGTTGACCTGTTGTTAGTAATTAAAAGAAAAAAATGTAAGTTTACGCGGACAGCAGAAGCAAATACAGCTTTTGAAAAGTTAAAAGAAGCGCTCATCAATGCCCTGTTTTGAAATTCCCGGAAGGGGACGAAAACTTGGAAATTGCAGCCGACGCGTCGGACTATGCCGTAGGTGAGGTTCTCATGCAGAAAGGGCATCCTTTAGCATTGGCATTCTTTAGTAAGACCTTAAATTCTACTCAAAGGAATTATACAGCTACGGAGAGAGAAACATTAGCCGTATTAATGGCTGTACAGAAATTTCGAGTTTATTTCGGCAAAGCGCCAGTAACAGTCTTTTCGGATCATGCGGCTGTTGGTAGACTTTACTCGGGAAAAACCTAACGCCCAGGTTAATAAGATGGGCTTTAAAACTTCAAGAATATAATCTAATAATTAAGTATAAACCAGGAAAGGAAAATAATGTCGCTGACGCACTATCCCGAATAAAACTGGACGATGAGGGGAATGAACTCAAATGCGCTGTGTTGATGAACGGTGAGGGGAATGAACTCAAATGCGCTGTTTTAGATTCTAGAGAAACAATTACTGCTGAATTGAAAGCTGATCCTGAATTTGGAAGTACTTATGCTTATTTAAAAGACCCCGAAATCTTTGAACATACAGATGTCGCCGCAATAAGAAGTAGAGCACAAAAACTATGAAATAATAGATAATTTATTGTTTTATAACGAAATCAACAAACGAAAACTTCGAGCATCGGCCAGTCATCCCAGCCTTGCTTCGATTCAGCATTTTGAAAGAATTACACGACGCGTCAACATCGGGTCACTTAGAGGTCAGAAAGACTATAAGAAGGGTACGTGAGGCGGTATATTTCCCGCAATTATACAAAATAGTAACTGCGTATGTCAGGTCCTGCAATCAATGTCAATTAATAAATGATATTAATTACAGCCCGGCCGGGTACTTAAATAGCATTCGCGCTACATTTCCGAATGAAATTTTAGGCATAGATCTCCTTGGTTCTTTTTCCCAGAGTGAGTTAAATAAAAATCGTTTTCTGTTAGTAATTGTAGATCATTTTTCAAAATGGACAGAAATTGTTGCACTTAAACGTGCGTCAGCCAAAACAGTTGCAGATGCATTCTTACACAGGTACATTTTAAAATACGGTGTACCGATAAAAGTGATTAGCGATAACGGTAAATAATTCGTTTGCCAAATTTTTTAAAACATTTGCTCTGGACTTGGCATACGCCATATCAAAATGGTTCCGTATAGACCACAGGCAAACATCGCAGAAAGAGTTAATAAAAAATATTGTAAAAATAATTCGAAGCTATGTTAGCACACATCACAAGCGCGGGAATGGCTACATAAAAGTTAGCTTATGCTTTAAGAACAGCAAATCATGATACTACTGGAAAAACTCCAGGAGAATTATTTTTAAACGTAGTTTTACGCCATAAAATTATTCTTGTCCACAAGAAACAGAATTCAACAAAAGATTACAAAACTTATACAGGGGTTAAAATTCGGGACGCAAAAAGACGGGAAGGGACGGAAGACGGGGACCGTGTTTAACAGTGGTAAACAGGCATATGTCCCACGCCTTCCCCTGTGTAGAAGCAGCAACTTTATTTAAATTAATAAAAGTATTTACAGTGAAACAAGGGCAGATGAGTGATTGTGCTACATTGCAGTTCAGGATACATTAACATGTCATAAATAGTCAAGTGCAAGAGAAAGCGTCTTAAATAATAAAAAAAACGGAAACAACACATTAATCACATAAACATAAGGCGTAATTAGATACCAATACCCTTCACTCAATACATAAACTTAAGCATATTGCAAATGCGTGATAGTGTTGTATATTGGGAATACTGAGGTATCTAGAGATTCTATACTTACTACAGGGTGTACAGACAGTGAACAAAAGCTTAGTAAAAGCATGATACTTGATAAAATACAGGACAAAATACATGCAATGCATTGATACAATACATGAGACACGGAATACATTGATAAAATACAAGAGACATGAAATACATTGATAAAATACATGAAACATGATGCAACTTTAGAAATAGTACACAACACTAAAAATGTGATATACAGAGCGGAATACGTATACAAAGGTATTAACAGAATACAAAACAGAAGATAGTGCATTAAAGATTTAAGTACAATGGATATATACATAATGCGCAGATGCTATTGCAAAGATAATTTGAGTATTATAGAATTTGCGCAGTTCGTATAAATTACAGGAACAAATGTTATAATGAATGCAGATACATTGTTTTACATGTGCAAGTGCTAATACTTGAAGGAAGAATGCGCTGAGACACTGATGGACGCTGATAGAACTGAGACACTGAGGGATTGGTGCACTACTGGGTACTGATGGTAAAATACATTTATTGGTGTATTAATGACGAACTGAGAGGCGATTGGCGGATTCAGTGAGGAGAGAGCAGATGTCCTGACCCATCGCCCTAGTGATGCTGACAATTTGACAAATTTTGGATATTGCAGGCTTATGTGTAATAATAAATCTATTAAAAGCTTCTCTATTGGAGGTTTGGCTGGGGAGATGATGAGCAGTTGTCAATTCACATTCATAGAGGTAGTGATCCGGGGTGCCGTGACCTCCGCAGACGCATTGGTCAGTTAGAGATATGTTGCGTTGGAAGAAGTAGCTGGGAAATGGGCCATGACCTGTTATGAATTGTGTAAGGGGTGCAATGGCGAAGTGCCTTTCTGTGCTGACTTTGGGTATAAAGTCAAAGGTGCGTCTTCCTGTGGGGCTGAGGTTCCACTCTCTCTGCCATAGCTGAAGACACTGTTTTCTTAGAATACTTTTCAGATGTGAGGGTGGTGCTGGAAGGCTGTTGAATTGGGCGTCTGAGTCTGTGACCGCTTGCTTGGCTAAGCGATCCGCAGCCTCATTGCCCTCGTTGTCCGCGTGGGCCTTTATCCATTTCAGTAGCAAGTTAATGTGTGCATGCCGTTGTAGAAGATGCTGTAGTGAGATAATTAGAGGTGAAGTGTGCTGATGGTTTAGTAGTGCCTGCAGTGTTGAGAAGCTGTTCGTGTGGAGGGTTGCATGCGTGATGTCTTGATGGATGATGTGTTGAGTTGCTGCCGTGATAGCAAGAACCTCAGCCTGGAAAACGCTGTTCTGTAGTTGTAGGCGACCCTTCCATTCTTGTCGACCATTTTGTCGATGTCCGTCCTGGTAGTAGACATAGGCACAACCTACGCCGTCCTCCTGCTTGGACCCATCCGAGTAGAAGTGGGAACCTTGCGTGGGAACTTGGGTTTCATTGGCATTCGAATGACGTGAAAGGTCTATCTTGACACCTTTACCTTTGACAGCCGGATGAGTGTGTAGGGGATGGCCAAGAGTTTCATACTGTATGGGGCAATATGTTGTGTTGGAAAGTGAGGCGTCCTTTCGCAAGTATATTACTTTTGTGTAGACTGCCTCCATTTCCACTATGATGTGTAGTGGAATCAGTCCTGCAAGTACAGTCGCTGAGCTGGTGGCGGTGGTCCGATAGGCACGGGTGAGATTGAGGGCAAATGGTCTTTGTAGGCTTGTTAGCAGCTTGATTTTCCGGACGCTCATTGGCTGGGCCCATGTGGCAGCAGCATAAGTAGCTATTTTTTCAGCTACAGTATGGTAGAGTAGCTTTTGAATATGGTGACTTTGCCCCCAATTCTTCCCCTGGAATGTGCGTGCTTTTCTTGCAATAATTGAGGTTTTATTCCTCAGCTCTTGTACATGTGGGAGCCAGGTGAGGCCAGAGTCCCAGGTGAGGCCCAGATACTTCAATGTCTTGACAAATTTAATGTTTTTCCCCTGTAGTTTGATGCAGGGGCGTCTCGATGGGTTGGTGCCTGCTTTTGGAATAAAGAGGGCTGTGGTCTTTTCTGTAGAGATTTTGAGCTTTAAGGCAGAGCATGCATTGTCAAAGATGGAACATGTAGTAGTGCTGTTACTCTCCAGCTCCTTCCGCGTACGGCCTTTGACCAGCAGAGCAGCGTCATCGGCGTATGCCACAACAGAGGTGTGTTGTGTGGCCAGTCTGACTCCAGAACAGGATTGAATGTTAAGTTCCAGAGAACCGGTCCGGCACAGGAGCCCCGAGCGCATCCTCTTTCCTGGCGTTTGATGGTAGTGCCGTTGTCATTGACTATCAGGAAGCTCCGGTTCTCTAGATAGCTGCAGAAGATGTTGAAGAGATTTGCCGGGCAGAGTGCTTTCCGAAGTGCTTGTTTTATGGCGGCCCACCAGAGTGTATCGAACGCACTCTGCAGGTCAATGGAAATAAATGCAGTATGGTAACCTGCTGTGCGGTTAGCTTGTATTATGTCTTTGATGGTGCAGAGGGCATGTGTTGTGGAGAGTCTGGGACGGAATCCGAACTGCTTTGGACTGAGGAAGTTAGTTGAATAAAGATGATATGAGAGCCTTTGGACAAGTAGTTTCTCATAGATTTTCCCCATCGTAGATAATAAGCAGATAGGGCGATAGGAGCGCGGGTCTTGTGGGCTCTTATTTTTCTTCAAGAAGAGAACCACTTGTCCTTGCTTGAATGCCTGAGGGAAGATCTGAAGGGATAGAAGTCTGTTGAAAAAGAGGCGGAAGAAGGAAGGTCTTGCTTTATGGGCTATCTTGATGATTGCGTAGTCCAAGCCGTCCGGACCAGGTGCTTTTTTATTGGGTAAGATTCTGAAGATGTGTCGAATTTCTTTGTCCTGGAATGGTACATCATATGGCGTATTAGGGGTGCTGATGTTGTCTCTGATCCGACGCTGAGCAGGCGTATCTTCTTCAATGTTGTCATCTGGGAAGATGGCGTCCAGGATGTAGATAGCTGTGTGCTCGGCTATGGTGATGTCAGCGGCTGGAGGTGGTGTCTGTATGTGTATCTGAGCCGGGCGGAAGACTTTGCCTGTAGTGAGCTTATGAAGTATCCCATATGGGTTAGTGTTGGTCGAACAGAAGTTCCGCCAGCTGTTGATTTTTGCTGCCAGGATATTGTTTTTGTAGATGGCCCTCTCTTCGGTAACTCAGCAGGATTCGTTGTTTTTCATTATCATCTGTGGTGCTGCGTATCCGGCGTCTAAGAGCTCTGCACTTTTGCCGCTGTGCGCGGAGTTCTTTTGTCCACCATGTTAATCCTTGAAGATTTTTGGCCGAGCGTGTGGGTAAGAACCTGCTGCATGCTTCTTTTAAGGTTGATAGCAGGTTGTCTGTATAGCTTTCCATTTCTTCTCGAGTGTTAAGGCTATTGATAGTGTTTTCTTCGTTACGGAGGATAGTAGAGAAGCTGGAGGAGAGGCGACGAATTTTGCTGCCTGGGAGTTTGAATCTGGTGATGACTGGGATGGTCGTGTCACAGAGTACAGTGAAGTGTATAAATTTATGATCGGAACTGCTCTCGTCTTCGCTGACTGTCCAGCCCGGTATTGTTCGTGCTATGTTAGTTGTGCAAAAGGTAATGTCTGGCCAACCAATGTTGTATGAGTTGTCATATGTGGGTGGTGCATCTGGGGTGTTGAGGAGGTGGAGGTTGTGGGAGGCTAAAAAGTCTTCCAAAGTGCGCCCCTTTTCATTAGTGTCTGCGTAGCCCCATATGCTGTTGTGGGCGTTGAAGTCACCCCCAGCAACAACTGGAATTGTGGGACTGCGGCGTAGGATGCCATGTAGTGTGGTAAGTAGATTGGCGGCGGTGTCCGAAGGAGAAGAGTAGGCTGAAATGAAAATTAATTGGGTGTTCTTGAAGGCCAATAGGATGGCTACTACGTCTCACTCCTGATGGATAACCAGAGGGCTCCAGGTGGGGTTGCTGCATGCAATGGCCGCTCTTGGAGCTTGGTCTTGTGGGTCTGCTTTCTTTTGATAAAGTTTCCAACCTATGGGGAGACTGGCGACTTCGCCCTCCCTGGTGTAGGGCTCTTGGATAAGTAAGATGTCTGTATCGTGGGTGATAACATGTTGAATTAGTTGTGAGGTGGCTGCTTGGGCCCTTTGTAGATTGATTTGAATGCAATTTATTTTATCACCAAGACGTGTGTTGTGGCCTGCTGCGTCAGTGGGGTAGTTGGCCGGAGCATTATTCATACTTAGTGCTTCGTTTGAGTCTGGCGACATATCTTCCGTATGTGGGGCATGTGAAGTCATATGCAGGGTGTGCGCATGGGGTCCTGGCATGATTGCGGTAGTTCCAGTCGGCACAATTGATACAAGTTGCCTGTCGGGCATTGCAGTCCTTGACTGTATGACTGCCTGAGCAGTACGCACAGTAGGTCTTATTACGGCAGTTCTGCTGTGTGTGCCCGAATTCTTGGCATCTGTAGCAACGCCGGGTATTGAAGAATTCAGATATCCGGTGTGCTCGCCATCCGAGATATAGCCGTCTTGATTGCATAAGTTGGTGGTAGGTGGTGGGGGCACATTCCAGGACCCATTTGACCCCATTGCCCCGGTCCTTGAGTCTGTACAATACCTTAAACGTGCTATTGCTCAAATGGAGTTCTGAGCCTAATGTCTTTTCTATCGTGTCCTGTGAGACGTCTGGTGAGATGTCGTGTATAGCAACTTTGGGTAGTCTAGTAAGAGGAAGTTTGGTGGTAACTAGTTGCTTGCCCTGTGTGCTTTGCAGTTTTATGTTAAGCTTCTCCACGTCTTCTGGGGTGGCACAGTCAACAGCCAAGCCTTCTTTTTGGATGGGTCGGAGTGTTGTGATCTTTACCCCTAATGTAGGGAGCGGGAATTCTGCACTCAGACGATCCTTGAGTTCTTTGCGTGTGAGGTTCGTGCTCTCCTTTGGGTACAGAAGGAGTGTATGCTTGGGCAACGATTTAGTTGCCTGTGCATAGGTTCTTGTACTTGCAGAGGGCAAGTTAGAGATGGCAGAGGCAGAAGGTGCAGATACTGTACTGAGTACAGAGTCAGTATTGGTAGCTGTGCTGGTGGTGTGAGGCGGAGTGATGTCTGTTGGGCCTCTTTCCGCTAGGTCCTTGAATGCTTCCAGGATATTTAGCAATTGCTCCCTCAGTTCTAATGTAAGCAAGTGTCTGCCTCTTTATAGGAGACTGCAATTTCTGAAGCTTCTGCGTAGAGTGAGTTGATCTTTTCTTCGTAACTTAGGTCCTCTGAGTTGAGGATTGAAGTTGCGTCAAGTTTTGGTTGGTAATTAGATGCGTCAAATTTACGTTGGTAAGCTGGCGTGGCTGCATCAATAGACATCATGAAGTGTACACTGATGGCGGTGCACTGTTAATAGTGCAATACGAGCACTGTTGGTGATGCACTAGGATATGTGCGCAGTAAATAAATGATGCTGGGCAGCGCTAAGAGATAGGACTGAGTGGTAGGGACACGTAGGGAGAAGTGGATACCAACTGGTTACAAGGTATAGGGCACGGTACGTACATTAATCAAACATATAACAGTTATAATACAATATGAGTATGCTATTGGCAAGTGACATATATTCTTCAATTTGAGTAGACTTTGACAATACTGCAGTGGCAAAGTATGAAAGTGAGAATACCAGTAATATTGAGACAATTGGTATGATCTCACTGGAGACACTAATAACACTATTATCACACTTGTATATCACTCTTGCTTAACTTTCACTTTTAATATCACACTTGGCTTAGCACTCACTGTAGAAACACAGATCACTTCTTTAGAAAACCCTCTACTAAGGCACTTATCGGTATGTAACACTGTATGCCAACACTAATATCACCGCGCTAAGACAGTTTGAGTAAAATATAAGCACATAACACAATTCACACTAGCACATTGAGAATTAAAAATGTTACATATACTAATATTAAACAATAATTACATAAGACTTAATTAACCAGAAAAATAATTACTTAAATCAAAGCAAAATGTGACACGTAACAGCACTTCTTAATTATTGTTGTAAACTATCAATTACTACCTACGCAGCGTAGTAAATCACAGGAGCTGCGTCACATACAACTGCAATTTAATTTAATTGAGAAACTTAATTACAAAAACCAGAACATAATAATAATACTGTAATTGAAAGATTAGAGTCTCTACCGTAACTTTAACTCTGTACTTTACGCTATTGTAATTGTACTAATGGAAATTAGAAATTAAAAATAAATTAGAAAACTAATTAATTAAAATATTAGGTGTGATGGAACCGGTATATTAGTAGCTTACTGTCTTTATAAATATAGCTGTCAAAATACCAACAAAATGTCCTTGACCAAGTCAGAATAAAGGGCACACTTTGAAAGGGAAAGTGCCTGCCAATTAGCTGACCTCACTACTAATTAAAACTCGAAATAAAACAATAAGTGCCTACCTTGGCCGTTAAATCATCGTCTGTTCCTCTTCTGTGTTTGTCAGGAACGGCGTAATCCAGATTGAAATGCAGACACTTATTTAAAAAAAAAAAAAAAAAAAAAAAAAAAAAAAAAAACCTCGCACGTAAACCCAAACCGTTGAATAAACAGAATCTAAGTCCTAATTAACGCGAAATTAATAACTCCAGAAATAATCATCCGTAAATTACAAAAATTATATCGCCGTGATCCTTGTCACTAGTAGATGCTAAAACTAAAGGTTCCAATGAGTTACACTAATTAGATGCGTAATTAGCAATTTTTACTTCTTATCTGCAGTCCTTCTTTCTTCCTTTGTTCGGTGAAAGGTCGCTGGAATGCGGCGGCCGTTAAACAGGCTGGAAAGGTCAGAGGTCACCGGACCTCGTAGCTGGAAGATTAATTAACTTTAAAAATGAATTTCTTGCGTGCTATTAATCGGACTGACCTGTAACTGGTGTCTAATTAAAGCTGAAAAGTCCTCTCTCTGATGATATAAGTTTCGAAAGGTGGCGAGCTTCGACGGATGCACGGCGATTACACAATCACATCTGCTGGGCGCAACCACGTTGTACACTGTACACAAATACTAATTAGTCCGTAACTAATCAACCGATGATCACAATGACATAAAAATGGTATCCATGTGTCCGCACGAGTATCCTCTATTCGATACAACTGAAATTGGTACCTAGAATATAGAATTTCTTCTGCTAAAGCTGTAAAAACACGGAACGCGAAAACACACGACCTGCTACGATCGCGCCACCTATTACCCAAGAAATAGACAGGTGACAGGTGACGGAGGACGGGAACGCCTGGTGTTTAACATAGGTAAACAGGCGTGTGTCCCACGCCCTCCCCTATCTAGGAGTAACAACTCCCTGGGGCCCCGTGAGGCTGCCTCGGGAGTTTAGCCCAAGCTCTACATTGGTTGGTTCGGACATACTATATCCGAGTACTTTGCCATCAAACGTTGCTTCGTTTGTCAAAGATTCGGACACTTACAATCCGAATGTCGCAGCAAGCAGTTCTGCTCATACTGCGCAGGCAACCACGATGTCAAAGACTGCACTACAGAACAACCAAGTTGCATTAACTGTCTTGACTTCAACTACACCAGACGCGCAGATGTCCCAACGGAACATCCTGCCTATGCAAACCAATGTCCCTGCTACCAGTCTCACATTGCCCGCCTTCGCAACCTCACAACCTACCACCAATAGTTCTATCAACCTAAGTCGTAGACATCCTATTGACAATATCAATTGCCTGCAGATAAATCTTCAAAAAGCACAAGTGGCAATGTCGCAAGTCTCTCAGTTCACTGTAGACAATGATATTCACTTGTTATTTATTCAAGAACCTTACACGCGCAATGGCAAAATAGTCGGTCTACCACTTTCGTGGACTGTTTATCAATCTGAAGACGAAATTGCACCTCCAAGAGCAGCTATTGTGAATTGCAACCCTAACTGGTCCCCCTCTATCATCTCCACTTCTCGTGATCATGCGGCGATTCTATTGGATTTTGAGAATTATGCATTTGTATTTATTTCAATATATTCTAGTCCTAATGATGATCTTCAGTTTACCATAGATCAACTAAATACTATTCTCCCTTCTTTGGGTTCCAAATATTTAATTATTAGTGGGGATTTTAACGCTCATAATACCAGTTGGGGTTATGCAACTACAACACCCAAAGGTCGTCTTTTAGAAGACTACATGTCCTCACGAAATCTTGTTCTCCTCAATACTTCCGATATGATTCCCACTTTTGATCGGTTGTTCGCCAAAGGATGGCCGGATTTGACATTGGCGTCACTAGCCACTGAACATCTGGTACAGAACTGGCAGGTCCGGGAGGAAGAAAGCCTCTCGGATCATAAATATATTACTTTCCAACTTCATGAGCAAACCACTGTACCTATCATCCAGCGTTACAATTTACCAGGTAGAAAAGTTAAATCTTTTGGTAAACGGATTTTTCGAAATTTACAAACCCTTAAACCTCAACTAGCAATGGTTGACTCTGTTGAATCGTTGGAAAAATTTACGGATACTTTAATTCATAGTCTTCAAACTACCTGCCAAGAAATGCTTCCACAGAGAACTACTAAAAAATTACATACTCTTCATTGGTGGACTAATGATCTACGCATTCAGCAGAAAAAATGCCGGGCTCTTCGTCGCCGTCTTAAGCAAGAACGTTGCCGTGGCCAAGATACTAACACATTGGTTCTGTATCAACGCGAAAGAGCAAAGTATAAACGATTAATTATGCAATCTAAGCTAAATTCCTGGCGAAATTACTGCACATCTAATAATGAAACATATGGTCTACATCACAAAATTGCGCTGGATAAATTATTTAAACCTATTCAAATTCCTGTTAGACCTATGCATTTATCCAGTTCTCATTCCACAGATCAGGCCATTCAAAGTATTTTAAATACCGTTTTTCCAGCAGATACACCAACTGATGATTCTCCACATCATGCTTCAATTCGCAATATTTCATCCATCCCATCTACAGCTGACGATCCTCCATTTGCTCTCAGTGAACTCCGCACCATCTTACGTACCTTGCCCAAGAAACGTGCTCCAGGACCAGATGGGTTAGATTATTCTATTATCAAAGTTTCTATCCAAGCAGATGCCTATTTCTTCCTTGATTATTTCAACAAACTACTATTATATGGTCTATTTCCCCATGCGTTCAAAATTGGTCAAGTTATTTTATTCTTGAAGAAAAATAAAGACCCTCTACAATCTTCTTCATATCGTCCCATCTGTCTACTGTCTGCTTTGGGCAAGGTATATGAGCGTCTTCTCATGAGTCGTTTGAAATTTCACCTGCACCATACTGGCTTTCTTAGTGATAAGCAATTTGGATTTCGCCCACAACGCTCAACACTCCATGCTCTGTCCGGTATCTCTGAGGCTTTACACCGTAATCGTAATGGCGGCTACCACAGCGCTTTTATTAGCATCGATCTTCGAAACGCATTCGACACGCTGTGGTGGCCTGCCATCCGGAAGGCCTTATTGGACTCCGCCTGCCCAAGGAATCTTTTTCTAGTCCTCAAGAACTACCTATCTAATCGTCATCTCATCTATGTTCATAATGCTGGAATTATTCAAAAACCTCAAGATCGTGGCTGTCCTCAGGGCTCTTGCGCTGGTCCGGACCTTTGGAACCTGACTTTTAACAGCGTTCTGAAGGCGGACTGGCCAGAGCATACTGAAATTTATGCCTATGCAGATGATGCAGCATTTATTATAAAAGGCAGAACACGGGAAGAACTGCAACGAAATGTGAACGAAACATGCGATCAATATTATCGCTTATGCACTAAATTAAAATTATCTATATCTGAAGAAAAATCACGTGCTCTTTTAATTCCGAAAAAAGGAGGTTCTCTTGTTCGACGGCCGACTTTTCTAATTAATGGCAAAAGAATTAAAATTGAATCTCAACTAAAGTACCTTGGCCTTCTCTTCGACGAAAAGCTAAAATGGATCCCACATATTCTTCACCTTAAAACGCGAGCTCTTACCATTGCTAAACGCCTTCGTCAAATGCAAGGATCTACCTGGGGTTTAAATCCGTTTATTTTGAAAATTCTATACCAGACCGTCATAGAAAAAATTATTACCTATGCTGCAGCGGTCTGGGTTGAACCAATGCAAGCACGCAAGGTACGCCTTCTGCAGTCTATTCAACGTCCTTTTGCCCTTGCCATGACAAGGGCATATTGTACTACTTCTAATCACGCTTTATGTGTACTCGCTGGCCTCATTCCTTTGCATCTTAAAGCATTGCAAGAATCTACAATCACTAAAGTTAAACAACTTCAGCAAGCCGTCTATTTGGATGATATTCTTCATTCGCCGGTTCCTTTTGATACCCCAGCGCATCCACTTACTATACATCCATCAACCTTTGGGAAAGGTTTATCAGTCTTCTTGAAAGGAGAATGTCAACCTCCAGCAACCACCATTAATATCTTCACAGATGGATCAAAACTTGATAATTCTACAGGCTGTGCTTACGTTACTTACTTATGCGGATAACCTCCCCATCTTTCATTGGAAGGGCCATATGCATTCCAATAACAGTGTTTTTTTTCAAGCAGAATGCTTGGCCCTTCAACAAGCTATTGCTTATGCCACAACGTTACAAGCGTCTTCTGTCAATATTTTTACAGATAGCCTGTCAGCCCTCTTCGCACTTCTTAATCCTCGCCATTCCTCTTCTCTTATACATAGCATACAACAACTTTTGCATGATCATGACTACCCGTCCATACATTTAGTCTGGACTAAAGGCCATTCTGGCAATGCCGGTAACGAACTTGCAGATTTTCTTGCAAAAGAGGCTGCAGCCAATTTTCAAGCTGAATCAGTACAAATAAAATGGCCATATTCCTACCTAAAACATGCAATCTTCTTACAAACTGTGTCCAAGTGGCAGGCTGAATGGGACTCTGCTACGACGGGCAGAAGAACTTATTACCATCTTTCTTACGTACGTAGATCCGGCTCGTCAGATTACCAATCCTCACCTTACAAGATTCATCTCTGGCCATGGGCCGTTCCCTGTCTACTTTCACAGACACCGTACAACAAATACAGACTTATGCGTCTGTGGGGAGACGGGAACTCCCGAACATTATCTTACTTACTTCGTGTGAACTCACTCGTGCTCATCATATTAAGATGCCATCAACTAATGTACAGGCATTTGCCAAATTTATGGTGAAACAACCTCACCTGGTCAAAAAGATATCTTCCATAATGTCTCTTCTTTTCGACTATGGTGTTGATCTATGCCAAACTGCATAAACTTTATGTTTTCAAGGTATAGCAGTGGTCTTAAACTGTTCATTTGTATATGATTCTCCCTTTCACATGCTTTCTTTAAATGTATCGATTGTAATGTATTAAGAATTTCTTTGACACAATTTTATTGTAACTTAACTTCACCATGCCCTTATATCATTGATTATGTTTGATTGTATTTATAATCTTGCTGCCAACATTATATCAGCATATTTTGTATATATTCCCTATACTTATCACTAAACAATTGGCATGAACTTATTGAATTGCTTCAACAAAAACCTGTAAGTCTTTGTTTAGGTAATTGTAGTATGGAAATTAAGTTATACGTATGCACTTATAGTCCTTGACATTTAATGTATGGTATGTATATTGTATAGTATATCCTTCATAATATTCAATGCATGGAATTAATGTATAGCATTAATATTGTATTACATATAGTATCTCTGGCCTTTTTATGCACAACTTATGGGTATTAAGTTTATATGTGTGCATTCACAGTGTTGGGTATTTAATGTATGGTATGAATAATGATTGTTATTTACTGTATTGCATGAATATTGCATTATACATATTTCTTTGTTTGCACTTCTCGTATCTACATTGCAACGTATTCAATCGCAGTATGGGGATTAAGTTATATGTATGTACTCCCAGTCCTCGGCATTTAATGTATGGTATGTATATTGTATAGTATATCCTTCATGGTATTCAATGTATGGTATTAATATTGTATTGCATATATTTCTGGCATTTTTATGTACAACTTATGGGTATTAAGTATATATGTGTGCATTCCCAGCATTGGGTATTTAATGTATTGTATGAACACTGATTGTTATTTACTATCTAGTATGAATCTTTTCTTATACATATTTCTTTGTTTGCACTTCTGTGTATCTACATTGTAACCATTCCGTCGCAGTATGGGGATTAAGTTATTTTTTGCACACATAGTCCTCGACATTTAATGTATGGTATGTATATTGTTTCGTATATCCCTCATGATATTCAATGTATGGCATTAATATTGTGTTACACATATTTCTGGCATTTTTATGCAAAACTTATTGGTGTTAAGCTTATATGTGTGCATTCTTAGTGTTGGCATTTAATGTAAGGTTTGCACACTGATTGTTATTTACTGTATGGTATGAATATTGTATTATATATATATATATATATATATATATAATTTCTTTGTTTACACCTCTTGTCTCTATATTGTAATGGTATGGGGAATAAGTTATAGGTACGCACTCATAGTCCTAGGCATTTAATGTAGGGTATACATATTGTATAGTGTATACTTCAGGATATTCAATATATAATATTATTATTGTCTTATATATCTTTTTGGTTTTTTTAATGCACAATTTTTGGGTATTAAGTTTATATGTGTGCATTCCCAGTCTTGGGTATTTAAAGTCTCGTATGACTACCGTACTGTGTACATTTATTATTATTTAAAGTATGGTATGAATATTATATATATTTCTGGTATCCTTCTGATTTCGTATTATATATTTTTCTATATATTTCTTATTGTTATTTTTATGCATAATGTATTTAACTGCAGTCTATGTATTCTTTTATATGTATCAACCAGGAAAACAAACACCTCCGATCTTTTCGCATATATATATTTATGTGTACCACAATGTTTCTCTGCAATGTACTTATTAATATAATAGGTATATTCCCTGTATGCGTATTGTCTACATATGTATACTCCTATTATTTTTGTGTATTTTATTGATAATGCATACATATCTGTATATTCATCGTTCTGGTACTTACCTACTTAAGTGTTGTATTTGTTCATCGCATATTCACTGCAAGTACTTATTGTATTGGTCCCACCTACAATGCTATCTGTATCTGCACTAAATATATATGCTTTAAATCTCTGTGTAAATAATAGTATATATATATTGCTTATTGTAAAAGACAAAATATATTACATCAACATGGTCTTGTACTTACAATTTTAAATATATCCTCACTATGTTTATACATTGAAACTATTGTTTTAGTACACACATTACCTGCATTGTATTTTTAATTTATTATTTCTATTGCACTGTTGGAGTTGAAAGTATACCGTCGATATATACCATCTATATTGTACTTATAGTGATGTGTATGTTTTATATATTGCATTTGAACAAAACCGGCTACCCACTTGGAATGTTAATTTCCAACCTTTAATGTCCTTGGTACTTCAATACTTGTAATGCTATTTGTAACGTTCATGCCTTCTTGGTGCCGTTCCCCCATGTTAAAACCTTTATGTTATTATAATTCTTCTTGTATTCCATATTTATTTATAATTCCATATTTATTGTATTTAATTATTATCATATAGTTACTTACTATTTCAACCATTTCTTATTATATCTGGCTAACTTAAGCATATTTAATATTATCTCATATAATATTTATGTTTATTATTTCTTTTGTCATTATTAACCCTTGTTTAGACATGTAATTTTTATTTGATTTTTAATAAATTCCCAGTGGCTCTTTGGGTAGTGAACGGCACGGGGGCCTGGATCCGACGTTGGGCTTCGGCGCCGGGGGCTCTCATGTGTAGATCTCCTCTTTTTGGTGTTGTCTCTAGACAGGGGTGGACGCGGTGCTATACCGATTAACCTAATGGTAAAGGGACAGTGCCCGCGTCCTCCGTCACTTGTCACTTCCTCCTCGGGAGTTATAATCGTCTAAGATAATACATGGCCACAGGGGATGAGGATTATTGTTTGACAATGGTTGCGTGACAATAACTTTGTGGGTGTGCATGGCTGTTGGAATAACACAGATACATATAATTACGGCAAAACAAACAAATACTAAATACGAACTAAAATCATTGATATTAAGATAAATATGAAGAGAGACACATATGTAAGATACAAGAGTAATAAATACTTAAAAAAATAAATAAAATAAAATACAGTGTGGGTAAAGTGAGTCATATGTGTATTGCTGGTATCCTTGTAAATGTGCTGTGAGTAGTTAAACACAGAGATGAAGCAATGAGTACTGGATGTAGAGTTATGGCGCCAGGAGTTAGTGTTAAGAGTTCGCTGAAAGTACAGTCTGCACTATAGTTCAAATTTGCAAGTGTTCAGGCTACACTAAAGTTTAGTGTACACTGTGGTACTAATAGCACTAAATTTGGAGTTTGGCACTGTCACTAAGTTTTAATGCAATTGCTATAGGTTGGTACAGTCGCTACAGCGCAGACACTATGTTAGGCACAGTAATTTCAGTACACAGTCACAATGGTTGCACAGTTACTATGACTGTGAACAAGTTTAAGAGAATTATCTAAGTCACGGTGTACGTACTGATGTTCACTGATGTGTGCACTTATGTAGTGCTTAGGCATAGGCGGAGTTGGTGCATGATGTATACGTGCGGTGTACCATGCATTGCATTAGGTTGGAAGGTGATGTAGGCATTCGAAGGCACTTTGAGTTGACACAGTTGGTACTCTGCTAGCACACCGGTAAGGTAAGTTCTAAAGAAGATTGACGTGTGCACATAAAGTTGAAGGCTTGGTGTTGGGGAGCTTTTGTTTAAAAACTTGCGGGGGTGGCCCCTGAGTGAAAAGCTTTTGAAAAGGTTGGATAGTCGGTAGGGGGGACGAAAAGATGATCGTGTTTAAAGAGTTGCTGGATGGGTCTTGGTCTATTGCGGTGAGCAGATATTTTGGCACATTGTCCCGATTTGAGTGATAGCTTTGCCGATTTTGGTTATGGCTGGCTTGTGAGTGATGATAAAGCGGTGGTACGCATCTCTGTTTCATGGTTGGACAGGGGAGGTGATGGTCTTTTGTCAGCTGGCCAGGTGAAAAGACAGTGGTCTGGGTTGCCTGCGGCTCCACAGACGCATATATCTGTTGATGAGATGTTGTGTCTTTGGAAGTAGCTGGGTGGGTCACGTGTCTCGTGATATATCGTGTCACAGGAGCGATTGCGATGTGTCGATCCGTGCTGACGTTTGGGAAGAAATCGTAGGTAAGGCGGCCAGTTGCGCTATGGTTCCATTCCTCCTGCCATTGTTGGAGCCCTTTACTCCGGAGCTGTCCTTTTAGGTAGGAATGTGGGGCTTGAAGGTGGATCTGCTGTGCATTTGAGTCGGTTACTGCCTGATAGGCTAAACGGTCTGCTGACTCATTGCCTTCGTTACTGGCATGGTGCTTTTATTCCACATCAGCGTCGTGTGCATATGTGAATTTTGCTGCAAGAGGTGCTGAAGGGCGATGACTAGTGGGGATCTGTGCTGATGGTTCTGGAGGGCTTGAAGTGTTGAGTAGCTGTCTGTATGAAGTATGGCATGAATTAGATCATTATGGGCAATGTGCTGCATTGCTGCTGTGATGGCCAGGACCTCCGCTTGGAAGATGCTGTTGTGATTTTGCAAACGACCTTTCCATTCTTGTTCTATCAGGCCATCCTGGTAACGGATGTAAGCACTGCCTACACCTTCCTCCTGTTTACAACCATCTGTAAAGATGTGGGTACCTTGTGAAGATACTTGCATTCCAGTGTTGGTAGGGGTGCGTGGGATGATGACAGAAATTCCTTTGCCACTTTACTTTGCCACCAAATAAACAGAAACTTTGCCACCAAATAGACAGAAACTTTACTATGATCGAAAACGCCGTGAAGCAGATTTTAAAGTAGGGGATAAAGTGTTAAAGAAAAAATTTTCTTTATCAAGTGCCTCAAACAATTTCACTGCAAAATTGGCTCCGAAGTTTGAAGGCCCCTATGTAATACAGGAAATCAAGGGAGTCGTATTGTACCTTAAGAACGAGAGAGGGGAAACCTGTAAAGTCCCGACCAGGTGAAAAAATATTATAATCAAAATGATTTCAAAATCCTTAAAAGTTTCTTGCAGGACTCA